CTTTCCTAGAAGGTCCCATAGCTCCCCCTTCCGGTCGTCCCATTACACCTCCCTCGAAGGCTCAGAGAGGGAGGGGGGACGAAAGATCCCTCGCCCCTCCCCCCTCCCCCCTTTGGATCCGCAGTGAATGAAAATTTAGTTTGGGACACTATTAACAACCAATTAACTCGGTGGCCAGACTAAGCAGGAAACAGCATTTTCCTGAGGATATGTGTTGCTCATGTGGTGAAAGGAAGAAACTCATCCTACGGACCTCCAGGTGTATGATGAACTTCTGCCTGAGCATGAGCCTTGAGGACAGGCGCACCAACTGCAATATCGCAGTTCTACCGCTGTAGTACACGCAGCTCTCTGCAGGACGGAATCATGCGAAAAAAAAACGGTACCTGGCAGGTCTGGTGCATCGGTATCTGCGCTCAATTATAATTTTGGCGCAACCATGCTGGTCAATTCACGATAATTCTGATCATCGTGAGCGTAAATAGCATAAGCGAACCAAAGAGACCAACCATACGGTTGATGAATTTTAATACTTTAAATATGAACTAATGATTGTATTACAGGAGGCCGATGTTTTTATCCAGCATATCCCGGGTTACCTGACGTTGCAGTGCCAGAACGATGATATACTTGGCATCACTCTCATTTTGCAATGGCTACCGAACGCAGCTCTGGAAAAAAATCCGGCAAGGTGAGGGAATATGAATTGACATAAACTTTTAATAGGGTGAAAAAGTTCGTCATTTTTCTCTTCGTTTTGAGCTCCCCATCTTCATTTTTCTCTGTTTGAGCCTCTGTTATCTTGATCAAAATGATCTCTTCCGAGAAGCATCTCACTATCTGTTCTGAATTTTTGTTTGTACCGGAATTTATTGTTTTCTTTTAGTTTACGCCGAAATTTTTTCAAATTTTACCTTACTAGGCGCTGTTTCACATCTTTTTTATACACACTTTCCGGTCCACTTAAAATTTGACACTTTTGCTTATGTTTTGCACGTTTATGTTTAATTTTTTTGCGATTTTTGACCGGGCTTTTAATGAGTTTTTTGCATCTATGCACGCAAAAACGCATACTGTCGAGGGATTGTCTGTGCGTGTCGATATGTGCGTATGTATCGAGTTTTCATTTCGAGATTTACAAAAGCCACAAGAATGAAACTTTTGCGACTTAATCAATACATAGTGCAGGCCCTTGCCCTCAAAATAGACGCTCACTTCCGCGTGATTTTCGTGTGCGGGCACGTGAAAGTTTTTCTGGCGGAAAAGCATCTTCAGGAACGGCGCAAGCTCGGAGGCTGAAAATTCACAGGGATGTTCCTTGGCCAAATTTAATCCAAAGATTTCAAATTCAGCCTTCACGCATCCCTAGGTGTCATGTACGCACACGTCAAAATTTAAACTGGCATAACGCCAATTTCATATTTAATCTGACCAAGAAGCTGTAAGGAGCTACAATTCTGCAGCTTTACTTGTCGCCCACTGATGTGCCTGTGAGAGTAAATTGAGCTTCCCAGTCTTTCTGCATCTCATGCGCGGGCACGTGAAAATTTCGCGCAGGCATTTTTGTAACTTCAGAATCGAAGCAGCTAGAGAACTGGAACTTTCTGAGCATAACTAACTGCAACCTTTGGCCAGGTGAATGTAAAAACGAATTGCACATCGCTTTCACGTCTCACGTGCACACACGTGAAATTGGGCGTAATTTCGCGACCAAAACAACTAGAGCGCTGAAATTTTCTGAGCATTGCCCGGGACCGTGTTTGAGTAGTTGCACACGAAGACAGCAGTCACGTTGCCACTCAAGTACGAACGCATGAAATTTGACGTAACTCCTTAACCAGATCAGTTGGAGTGCTGAAATTTCTGAGCGTGGCCCAGAACCGTGTCTGGGAAAGCGCAGGTAGAAACGGTGTTCGTGTTCCTTTTCACTTACGAACACGTGAAATTTGACGCAATTTTATAATCAAGGCAGATGGAGTGCTGAAATTTTTTTTGAGCGTGGTCCAGGACCGTGTTTGGGAAAGCGCATGTGGAAATGACGTCCACGTTTCCCTTCACATAAGAACACATAAAATTTGACATAACTCTGCAACCGAATACCTAAAATTTGACGAGCGCTGAATTTATCGAGCGTGTATTGGGAGTCATTGTAATAATTTCTAAGCCGTGGTGAACATCTGCCGGAAAAAACAGCGCCATTAGCGGCAAAAATCTGCGGGAAAACTGTGCAAAAAATGCATCTTCGCACCGGCAATCAGTGCGCTGGCTAATGATCATTTATTGGTCAGATCCAGTATCCAGCAGCAAATTTCTGCACACCTTGACTTTTTTAATTTTTTCCTCCTCCTGAGAACAAAGAAAGTTTTTGGCTAAACTACAACTGGGTCAGCTTTTTTTTTCAGGTACTAGAAGATCAAAATTTTCTCCTCGTCAATCAAAACACGCGTTGTTTTACTTGATAGCGCATAAATTATTTTTATGTTGCAGCAGTTGCACAAAACCCAAATCAATTAAACCCAGTATTTGTTGTGTACTTAGTTGTGTTCCAGAAATCATAAAAGCTAGGAAGCTGAAATTTTAAGAGGATGTTCTCGTACCTGTATGAGATCCAGAAAATTTAAATTCAGCTTTCGTATAACCCTATGTCCCGTATACTGACATTTGAAATTTTTGGTAAGAAAATTATTAACTCGGGAGTCATATAAGCTAGAAAACTGAATAAGAGAATGTTCTACCTAATGTACGAACCAATGATTTTGAATTCAGTTTCCAAATAGGTCCCACGCACGGACTTCTGAAATTTGGAATATGGAATTTTAGAAGAATATGCCCCTGCTCACATTCAATCCCACATGCTCAAACTTTTCTTCTAAGTAGATCCTAGGTATCGCGTACGGATACATGGAATTTTGACAGGAAATTCCCTGCCTCAGGAATCAAACAAAACAGAAAACTGATTCTAGAAATTCGCACTCATCTTTCATTTACATTTAGTCTCATGCACGAAAAGGTGAAATTTTACGTGGGGAATTTTTAGTTTGGAAACCAGACAAGACTGAAAGGTAAAATTATCTGAGGATAATTTCTGTTCATTTGCAGTCCTACAAATTTAAATTTGTCACTCAAAAACGCTTGAGTTTCAGCGTACAGCGAGTAACATATTTTCGGTCGAAAATTTTGTAGGTTGAGAATCAAACAACATTTTGACTATTTTTGTACACACTAAACTCTAAAGCAGTGAACATTCTTTAAACTAACCGTCGGCTAGACAGAATGCGTATATAATGCGTAAATGCACCAGTTATTTAGACTTGACTTCGAGCTTTTCAGCCTATTCATTTGGCTGCAGTTTTGGCCCATATCTTTTTGTTCTTTGTATCGTCAAATTCAATATTCTATTTGTGCCGTAGAAATTTCGCACAGAACTATGATTGCAGTATTCGAGGTCTGTCATCAAGAAGCAAACCAAGCGTTGATATCATGAACTGTGAACTTTCGAAACTGGGAGAAATCGACAGACAGGTTTTTCTCATATCTCTATTCAACTATGGATTTGGAGGACCTCGTTCTATGAGCTCTATTTGTTCTAGGATTCTGAATTTTCTGCTGCTGAGAGAAGATCTGTTGGCTTTCAAACTTTTAAGGCTCTCTATGTACTTTTATTTATTGAAAAATTAGTTTTTTGTTATTCATTACGGATGAAGCGAACTGTTTATGACATTTGTGTTTCGCGTGACTTTGTCGGGTGTTTGAGTGTGTTGAAGCGAAATCTCGCCCCCCACCTGTTGGAACTAGACTAACTAGAGTAGCGGCTGCAGATTCTACGAAATCTCGAAGAATTGACCGATAAACACCGCGGAGGCTGGCAAAATTAGTAATTTTTGTGTCTCGCTGTTCGGCGCACGTTGATTGAGTGCGCTAGGTTACCTAGTGCATCCCTGGTGCCCATTACTGGAATCTCAGCTTAGCAGGCATTGAAGATAGGTACTGACCTCTTGTTCTGTGTTACATGCTTTGCGCGTAACGAAATTACGATTGTTTATCTGTAGTAGTAATTCTGTTTGGAAACCCAGGCTGGAACGCACCGGGCGGGCCCGTGTGATCATGCGTTTTTGCACCAGATTTTAATTACTCAAGTCATTAACTGTATGAATGGCTATCGTTTTACATCTATCTTTTGCTGTCACTAGCATAAATCACCATAAATTTTGCAAAGTAAATGTACAATTTCCATTTAACAGTCGTTCT